TGTGATGGGGGGAAATTCATTTGAGGAAACAGAAAAGATAGGTCCATCCAGCATCATTGGATTGAGCTGTGCTAGCTGTCAAATGTTTGCAGAAAGTATAAAAAAATAGCCAGGGTGTTGTTCATTATCAGATCAGACTATTTTGGTATCCAACATTAGTGGATAATGAATGTCATTGTGTAAGTGCTGCAGAAATAAGGGCAGAGTATTGAGACACCTCTCTTGTTTCATATCTAATGAAGTCATACTTAGAACATGACTGGGACCTAAACTGGCCAGTTTAGCCTAAATTCACTATTCTATATTATTTTAAAGCCTGCTCTTGAAAATTATTTAAATTTTAAAATATGTATTTGCTAAGTATAGTTTCAGAATTAGTCAACAGTTCTAAAAATTAGTCTAAACTTAGGTGCAAATCATTCATCATTATCTGTTTGGTATCCAAGACGTTTATTGTTCTGTAGCTATTGCAGAAATAAGGGCAGAATTTGAGGGACCTCTCACATTTCCCAGAACTTGCAAACTTGCCTGCAAACTTGTTCCTTTCTTTCCTCAAAATTTGCCATTGTTACAAGCAGCTTCATTCAGAAGTTACTTCTACTCTCCCAGTAGGGTACAAGAGATACATGCCTCACAAAATGCATTGCTTCAGTCACACAGATGATATAAGAAAATCTGGATAAACTGCCTCTGTCTGGCCTGTTCTCACTCTAGGAAGCTGAAACAATAGACATGGACTGGCTAGTCTGTTGACAAGCCTCATTCACATAAAATATATAATAAGGGTAGGTGTGAGCTTCACTCCTGTTCGTAACCATGAGTTGCACTGTAACATGTATTTTGTGTGTGTTGGAACAATACACAGAGACCCGCTTCATGGATTCCTAAGATGAGCTCAACCCTCTCCTATGTGCAAGAATTCAAATCAAAGCATCCTCAAAAGATGCTTGTCTAAACTCCACTTAAATACTTTCAGGGAAGGGAGCACATTACCTCCTCATCAAACTGCTGTTACCAATCCGATATGATATCAGTAAAAAAAAATCTGACTTAAATTATTATGTCCTGCACTCTTTCCAATTAGGAAATGCAGAGGGAGAAAAAAAAAAGAGGAGGGGGAGGGAGGGAGGGAGGGAGGGAGACCAACCAACCATGAGACTAACATGAGCTCCAATGGGACTTTTGTGAAATAAATAAGAAGGCACGAAAAATATCTCAGAAATAATACATTCATCATAATTTAGTAAGAGGATTAAAGTGTCCCTCAGTTCCTACAAATTATACGCACACATCCAGGTATTAGTTTTGGCAGTGGCACAATAGGTCAATGCCTTTTGGGAGATTCCTTCCTTCCTTCCTTCCTTCCTTCCTTCCTTCCTTCCTTCCTTCCTTCCTTCCTTCCTTCCTTCCTTCCTTCCCAGTGTAGTCTCTATTTCTGGTATTTCTTAGAGGATTTCCACCTTACTTGGAATAAGGTCCAACAGTGCTTAGCTTTTGAAGATCACTTAAGGTCAGCTAGATGTTGATTTATCCAACATGCAAGAAAGCAAGTTGAAAGAGGAGGAACATCAAAAGGCTCCACCACCAACCTGGTGATGGTCACCTGCTGACAGCTTCCCTGCAGAAAGGCAGAAAGGCAGTTTTTGAAGTCTTCTGTTGTATATAAGCATTTCCATGCCAGTAAATACAGCTGTCAGCTTTGGAAGCCATATTAGGCCAGAAGCTTCAATGCTGCCACCTTCTCATGTGTGGGAAAGTAGGAGGGGGGAATTTAGTAGAGGGGTTGTCTTTAGACATAATAGCATTCTTCCTGTCGGTCGATCCTGCATCTGGAGAAGGAGTGGTCAGAGTGCTGTCTCAAAATGGGACGGATGGTGATTGGAGCATGTGATCGATTGAGGAGTGAGGGGATGGTTTTGGGGGGTTTGATTTACTGAGGGAAAACCCGGACCTCTCAAATACGGGTTTTCCCAGATGTGCCAGTTTACCTATTCTAGTAAATAGAATTTTGAAAAATGCTTGCTTCAGAGTTTTTACTTAGAGTTGGGGTTTTTCTGGAACGCTGACAACAGCACTTTTTAACATTCTGCTTCATTCAAATACTATCTCAGGACTGGAATGCAAAAAACCAACTTTTTCCCTGTATTTGTCTCTTTAAAATAATATCTATTTTTCCTTAATCAGATTAATCAAAATACTGATTCTATTTACTGTCTTCTCAGAATTTATAGAAGTCTTGTAACATTTTCTGTAATAACAACAAAAGTCTTCCGTATACCCAAAAAAAATAAAAACGCCATTATTATTTTTTTGCATAAACAATTCATCTTTGCAAAGAAATACTGTTAAAATTTGGTATTTCATTGTGAACTACTCCATTGTAACAAAGAGAAGTGGGGGAGGGCAGGAGACACCTTTCGAAAAACACCAACACAACTTGCCAGATGCCTCTCTGGAATGTCAACTCTCTACCCTCTTCCACATGTCTGGGTTTGATGATTCCCTCAGGTAAAATGACTCTAGCTTTCCTCTTTTAACCAAGTTACTAGGAATAAAATATTTTATTGGAATAAAGGCAGTAAAGAATTTGAGAGAATAGCACCAACTTTGGCTGAAATCTGCATAACAAAGCTAGCAAACATCCTGAGCAAAGACAGAGGGACTGAGAATTCAGAGCAAAAATAAGGCAGTCATAATTGAGCAAGAGCATCTCTAAAAAGAATTTTTAAATAATCTTTGGTTCATCTGTATCTTTTTCCCTTCTTGATTCAATTTCATCGGGAGGCTTTTTAGCATTGGGCCAGAAAACCTAGATTCCATCAGACAAGTCTGTTTATCTGGAACACTTCCACTCCCCACAGGAGAAAAGCACCCTACTTCTAGAACAGTATTTTCCAACCTTGGGACTTTCCAGGAGTGTGGACCTCAGCTCCCAGAACTCCACAGCCAGAATGACCATTGCTGAGAATTCTGGGAGTTGAAGTTCATACTCCTGGAAATTTGCAAAGTTGGGAAATACTGTTCTAGAATACCATACATATTCATTCAGAAAACCATTCAGAAAGGATAAGTAGGTTATTCTGCTGAACTATTATGCTGAAGATCCATGATGTAGACCATTTTTTCCAACTCTATGTACATATTTAATTATGTCAGAACAGCTAAATAATAAATCACCTCCCTAAAAAGTAAATATGTGGGTAAACATAGTAAACATAGGGCATAGTAAACATAGGGCACAGTCAATTCCTTTCCTACATGTGTTCCAGATTGAAGTGATTGCACGAGTTCTCTTCCTTCTCCTCTCTAGCTTGGCCTTAGCTGGGAAAATACGCTGAAAGAAAAGAGAAATTCAATCCATTTCTCTTTCTGCAAACTTCCCACACATACACCTCAGCCACAACTATCCTGCAGCACTGTTTAGAAATTGGGGGGAAATTATCCAATTTTTGTAGGCCTTTTTTTGAAAAGCATTTTCTTCTTGTGATTGGGGTTGCATCCAACTTCATAAATGATTAACTCAAATTAGCGAATAAATGTTTTTTTTCCCCTAACAAGCATCCTTGTGTATATATTTTCTTTCCAATACACATTTGATGCATTTCTTTTTCTTTTTAATTTGCCAACTGATTTGCCGAATATCTAAAAAGTATTAATCGACTTTGGGGATCTTCTGGATATTTGGCAGATAGGAAAATTGTTGAGGTAAATGGTGCTAAAAGAATATAGAAAACACTTTCCAATTCTGGTTCCCTGCAATAGTTTCTTGTGGACAGAGCCTGTTACAATACAGGTAGTCCTCGACTTACAACAGTTCACTTAGTGACTTTTTGAAGTTACAATAGCACTGATAAAAGTGACTTATGACAGTTTTTTACACTTATGACTGTGGCAACATCCTCACATGATTTACATTTGGTGCTTGACAACTGACTCATTTATGATGGTTGCAGTCTCCTGGAGTCATGTGGTCTCCTTTTGCGACCTTCTGATGAGCAAAATCAATGGGGAAGCCAGAGTCCCTTAACAACCATGTTACTAATTTAACAAGTCCAGTGATTCACTTAACAAATGTGGCAAGAAAAGTCGTAAAATGGGGCAAAACTCACTTAACAAATTTCTCACTTAGCAACATAAACTTTGGGCTCATGGTCATAAGTTAAGGACTACCTGTACTCTTCACTAGTGTGTAAAAGTGTTAGAATCCTGCCAAATTTAGAGATAGAGAAAAGGAAGGGAGGGAGGGAGGGAGGGAGGAAGGAAGGAAGGAAGGAAGGAAGGAAGGCAGGCAGGCCACAGTTTTCTGACTTCAACTTTTATTACAGCATGCCCAGAGTTTTAAACTTGCCTGCCTACAACATATCTGTGGAATCTGTTACTTGATTATTAGAAGAGACTATTAAAATTCAGTCTGCAAGAGGGCAATTGTTTGCATGAATGATTAAATCACCCTCCTGGAATAAAACTGTTAGTTGCCAGAGCTAAAGTCTAGATAATGGCAGCTGAGGGAGGGTTCAAGTCTGCAGCATCCTGAATAGAGAGCGCCGGGTAGCAATCAAGAGAAAATGCCTGGTATGAGAAATTTTGAGCGACCGATTGATTCTTAATCACAACAGTCCGCTGGCCATGTAATGATGCTATAAGTGGAGCCTGCATTTAGCACACAGAGCAAGGTTTGTAACTTTTGAGGGAAAAAAAAGAACCCAATCTGGCCCCAAGGATTACACTGCCATTTGATTTGGAAGGGCTTGCATCATTTATTGTTCACTTCAGCGCAGCTCCTTGTAGCAATGGAGGGAACAGAAGGAGGATTGTTGTATAAGGGCAATTCGATTCTTGTTCTAGAGGAACTGATTAATCTTTCATGACAAAATACAGACCCAAATCCTGCTGAAGGCAAACAACAGCGTAAAGTACAAATCCTAACAGATCCTAAATTATACTATTATCGTACAATTAACTTAGCAAAATTGCAGTGGGTATAGGATGGCTTGTCAAGCATGCGGGAACATCATCGCGAAAAGAAGTTGAATCGTTCTTGGTAAGTGTCTGCCTACTGCCTAGCAGGGAAAGCTGTAGCCAAAAAAAATAAGCAGAGCGTATCATGTATATGTTGTGTAGAGAACGTCCATGATTCCAACTTTGGCATCTACAGTTCAAGGGTGTCAGCCGGCAAGGTTGGAAACAAAAGCACTTCACCAACAAAAGCACTTCTCAACAAGGTCAAGCCTGTAGGAATCAGCTGGTGTTCAACAAGGCAGCATCAGAGCTGGCCTTCTCCTGCAGAAGAGCACCACCATTTCACAGCAGCATCAGTTGGTCCTAATCCAAGCCAATGTTTTTGAAATCATGCACCTAGAGCTAAAGAGAAAAAATAACGGAACAGGATAGGCTGTTTTTCAATCATTCACACCAAGAGCAGGTGTGCCCCAAACCAGATGGAGCAGATAAATAGGAGACCACAGAAGACGACAACATTGCAGTCACAGAAGGAAGGAATGTTTTAGAATTTCTTAATTGCTTAACAAAAGGGATTGCCTTCAAGAGAAACTTTTTAAGCAACCTGTGAGAAGGTTTCCTGATTATCCCTTCCCAGTTCTCGGACAAGAGTTTTTTAGCTGGTTTCAGAGGAAGCAGGGATGGGCCCCTCAGGGCTGTAGCAGGGGTGGGCTGCTGGGGGTTTGCAGGGGTTTGGGAGAACTTCTAGCTAAGATTCTGTGCAGTTCAGAGAATCCCCAAATCCCACCCCGCCCCGCCCGTCCCAAGAATCCTCACGCGGCCTGTTTTGGATGCAGATAAGTGCAGGGCGCATGTGGAGGGTCAGGGAGGACAAAAAACGGGCCTACCAGAAGTTTGGGAAGGCTGGAAACAGGCCTGTTTCTGGCCTCCACAGGGCCTCTGGAGCCTGGGGAGGCTGTTTTCGCCCACCCGGAGGCTCAAGTAAAGCCTCTGGAGCCCAGAGAGGGCAAAAAGCCGCCCCCCCCACACCATGGTGCAGGAGGCCAACTAGGCCATGCCCGCCATGGCCACACCCACCCAGCAACCGGGCAGAGAATCTCTTGCTAAAAATTTTGAAGCCCACCCCTGAACTGTAGCCAGTCTTTTCAGATAAGGCCATTCAATTACACAACTGCTAAGTGTCTAAATCAGTGTTTCTCAACCTCAGCAATTTTTAAGAGGTTTGGACTGAGTTGGATAATTCCAGAAGTTGAAGTCCATACCTCTTAAAGTTACTGAGGTTGATGATGCATTCATGTTCACAATTCAAGACTGATGGAACATTGCCCTTCCAATGTTGTGTCAGTGATGGACTACAATAAAGTATTTTATTATCCAATAGATTTGTTTTAGTCTGAAGAAAGTCAATCAGGAAAGAGTAGAGACCAGAATGTGGGACTGGCGTGGAGGATGAATGGTAAGTGGGTTGATGCCTCTCTATGTAGAGAGATAACTGCAGGACAGCAATAGCAATAGCACTTAGACTTACATACTGCATCACAGTGCTTAACAGCCCTCTCTAAGCAGTTTACAGATTCGGCATATTGCCCCCAACAATCTGTGTTCTTATTTTACCCAACCTTGGAAGGATGGAAGGTTGAATCAACCTTGAGCCGGTCAGGATCAAACTGCTGGCAGTGGGCAATCAGCAGAAGTAGCCTGCAGTACTACTGCATTCTAACCATGCACTACCAAGGCTCATTAGAGCGAATGGTTATGGCACACTCTCATTGCTGCAAAAAGGGAGATTTTATAGTTCAGTCAGTGCAATTGAATGAAAAGGGGAGAACTAAGAGGTATGGCTGTAATACTCCTTTAAGGAAGAAATGTTATCCATTTCAAAGGAACCCTAACAATAAAATGTGTCGTCAGCATTTTTATTATCATTGTACCTCTTTCAACTCAGACATTAGTCTGTCAAAAAAAGACCAAGGAAGGGAAGAGAATAATGTGTATTTTCAGATAATTGGCAAGAAGAACTAATAATTATATACTAGAGAATTTGAAGGGCTTTTGTTATTTTTTTTCCTAATAGAAACAGCACAATGCCTACAGAGAACTCAACAGCATGGGCAAACACTCCTGTAGGTCTGTAAAATTTCCTTAGAATCAAGATTAACTACTAATTGGACTCCAGATCAATTTACAGACACATGTAGGTGAATGGTTTTCCTAGCGAAATAAAGTGGTTTGCCATTTGCCTTGAGATTTTCTGGTGTTTCACCATCCAAGAGAGATCCAACATTTCAAATGGCAGAATTATTGTTGTCAATAAAATGTAAAATGGTCTACTCTTCTGGATATATAGAAATCCAGAGTCTCCAAACATGCTGTTGGATCATAGCCACAACATATTAACCAAAGAGCAGAAAAGTAGGCATGGATAGATACCAGATCTACAGTAAACCCCAAAGGATGCTTGCAGACACCTGAATACATGTTCCACTTAATTTCCCCAGAGATAACATTATATGCTAGACAGTGTCCTCAATTCCTTTATTTGAGAAACAAACTTTGAATAAATATCCTCCCACAGAAGCTCCTAGCATAAAGAAAAAGGTAAATTTCTTAAAGGGCAAATTCTGTTATTTGGCTGCACAATGGAACAGGAGGCAGATGTGATTAACAAATTTGTTGAAGTGGAAAAGAAAAGGTGATTCACTGCATGGCTTCATCTCCTGTCATAATTAAAGAAAACAAAGTGCTGGGTGGGTGAAGCACAGAATCGCTGCAAAAGTGGGTGTGTGAAAGAGAAAGAGAGGGAGGGAGGGAGAGGGGGAGAGGGAGAGAGAGGGAGGGGGAGAAAGTAGGAGAGGGAGTGGGGGAGAGGGAGAGAGAGGGGGGAAGGGAGGGAGAGAGGGAGGGAGGGAGAGGGAAAGAGAGGGAGGGAGAGGGTGGGAGAGACAGAGGCAAGGGGAGAAAAGGGGAGAGAGGGGGAGTGAGAAGGAGAGAAGGAGGGGGAGAGAGAGATAGAGGCAGAGAATGGGAGGGAGAGAGAGAGGGAGAGAGTGAGGGAGTGGGAGAGAGAGTGGGGAGAGGAGAGAGAGAGACAGAGACAGAGAGAAGAAGAGGAAGTGGTAAGTATAAGATCTAAATAGCAATACTTTTCAAAAGAAAATGCACCATTCATGAGTTTTCAGAGACAATTGATTTCTGGAATTTAAACTGAGAGTCCACGAATAGTGTGGAGATTATTCCTGCAATAAGAATCATAAATGGAAACAAAACAAAGTGGCCAAGGGACTTTAGAGCTCTGAGAGAAGAGAAAGATTGTCAACTCATTTAAAGGGAAACAAGGTTTTTAGATGAAAGCTAAGCACCAGTAACTTTTGAGCCTACACACTTACTCTGACATTCAAGTTGTCAGGAACGGGGCAAAGCTGGGTCCTCAGTTGAAAGTTGGAGGTCACTTGATTTACCAGTAGACTTTGGAAAAAAAGCAAGGGGAAGAGAATCTCAAGTAAGAAGATGCTTTTCAGAAAACATTTTGTCTAAGAAGATTTGATGCTCCAGAAACCTTATGCCAGTCATAGAAGACGAATGATGGAAACAGTAGTTTAATTCCCAACGTGACAAGTCTTCCTATCCTATACTGCCATCCCATTATAAACCTAATACATCTTAAATTTTAATGTTCTCTTTGGACAAACTGAATCAGACAAAACGGAAAACTCTTCCTACCCCGTACATGTTGGTTCTTCAAAAACATGAGGTCAGATGCCTTCATGTGTTCATTGGGATAGTTGCAAAAGGCAGTGTGGCTACTGGGATTTCTCAAAGAATTCCCAAAAGCTGAAGTGCAGCTGTCAATAGTATTTTATTGGCCATCAAAGAGCTGAGATTGTCTCCTAAAACTGACCCTTTCTTCCCTCTAAAACAGGGCCATCCAACCTTGGCAACTTTAAGACTTGTGGACTTCAATTCCCAGAATTCCCCAGCCAGCCGACTGGGGAATTCTAGGAGTTGCAGTCCACAAGTCCTAAAGTTGCCAAGGTTGGATACCCCTGCTCTGAACCACACTTCATTGTGTATAGCATAAGCCCTTCTACAAAATCTGATTCACATTTAGCTGGAGAGAGAAAAAGAGAGGAGGGATGCCACTGTGCAGTTCCCAATGTTAGTCAACTATTAAACAAAATAATTATTTACATTAAATTTTAGACCATGCACATGATTGCCTTCTTCAAATGACATGAGATGGATCATTTTCTAAGGTTCAAGACAGATAATCCTGATGTGAATTATGTTTCCTGTCCTCTTATTGAATTGCACCCCACGCAGCTAGGACCTCTCTCAACGTTTCCACTCCAATTCCTTCGCCTCTCCAAAACCCACCTTCTTGACTGGCATCAGACAGGGCAGAAGAAGCTGAGGCAGAACGAAAGAGGCTCTCTGGCTCTGCTTCTCTGCTTGCGTAAGACAATCCTGAATCCAAGCCAGCAAATATTTTTTTCTTGCAAGTCATTTTCCATCCATCAAGTGTGTTCATTACACCAGCTGTTTGATGGTTGGAGACTGCACTTAACATATTTGGGGTTACTCAATAGGTAAGGGAAGAACGCAAAATGATGGCACCAGATTTTTTTGGGGGGGAGGGGGCGGAGGAAAGTGATTAAGCAAGTTTTTTTATTTGGTTGTTGTTGTTTTTTAACTATTGCACCTACGCAAAGGCTTTCATTACAGTTTGTGATTGTTTTTGTCATCTCCAAACCCCAGGAAAATCTGCCACCAACTTGCAGCAACTATGATCAGTGAGTCTTGAAGACCATACAACAATGTCGGTGAGCACACATGCAACTGGAGTTCTCTGTTTCTGAACTCTTGTGTAAATACATGAGTCATGTACCACATATAGATATGATACAGCCTTCAGTTAATATGGTGGCAGGGTGTCAGGCCCCCAAAAACCAGGTTCGATGTGAAAGTTCAATTAAACTGATTTATTGATATAGCCTATGCATAGGAATCTTGTCAACCAGTGGTCAGCACCTTAGAGTTAGCTAAAGGTCATTGACACGGCAGAGAGATTGGACTTAATTCGGT